ACTGCAGTCAAGTTGCCCAGGGGTTAGAGAGGACCCAGAAGTCTTGGGTCTGCCAAAGTGGCGACACCACCTGACTCCAGGCCACACACAGGAGAAGGTCACACTGGGGTGGATCCCAGAATCATCTTTTACAGTCACCTCCAGTTTCAGTTAGGGAAACTGAGGCCCAGGCCACACAGCTAGTCAGTGGAGTCAGGATTAGATAGAACCCAGTTATGTGTGTGTGTGCACACATGTGCATTTAATAGGAAAGCCCCTTTCCTTTAGGTTCTTCATTCAGATGTCTGCCCAACTAGCCCCTCGCCAGAGAAACCCTCCTGGACCACCTTATCTAAAAGGATTGGTCTGTATCATCTTATGCTGTGTATGAACTTCCTGTGGCTGCTGTAACAATTTACCATGAACTGGGGGGCTTAAAACAACACACACTTATTATCTCATAGTTCTGGAAGCCAGAAGTCTGAAATCCAGGTGTTGGCAGGGCCGCATTCCCTCTGAAGTTTCTAGGGAAGAATCTGTTTCCTACTTCTTCCAGCTTCTGGTGACTCCAGTGTCCCAGGGTCTGCCTGCATCTTTGCATAGCCTTCTCCTCTTCAGTGTGTCAAATCTCCCTCTGCCTCTCTCTCTCTTTTGTTTTAGAGAGAGAGAGAGAGCATGAGCACATGAGTGGGGAGAGGGGCAGAGGCAGAGGGAGAGAATCTCAGGCAGACTCCCTGCTAAGCCCTATGTGAGGCTTGATCTCATGACCCTGAGATCAGGACCTGAGCCAAAATCAAGAGTTGGATGCTTAACCAACTGAGCCCCCCAGGTGCCCCTATCCTTCTGCCTCTCTCTTGTAAGGACATCTGTCATTCCAGCTGGGACCAACCAAGACAATCTAGGCTATTCTTCTCATCTCTAGGCCCTTAACTTAGTCCCATCTGCAAAGACTTTGCCATAAAAGGTCTCATTCCTAGGTTTCAGAGAACTGACGTCTTTGGGGGGCCCATATTCAGGCACTCCCAAACCTGCTTTACCTCTTTCAAGACATGCAGTGTGTTTACATGGTGTTCTGTCATGTCTCTTGGTGGCCACCTCTCTTAAGGGCCTAGACCATGTGTGTCCGGCTCACCATTACATCCCCATGCCCAGAACAGAGTCACACACATAGGAGGAGATCAAACATGATTTGCCAACTGAATGGCAAAGAAATGCAAATAGAACACTTGGTGAGAAGCCTGGCATATGAGAGCATTAGAGTTCGCAGTTCTGGATCGTAATCACTGGCTGCCTTCCCTGGCATGCTGGGGGAGAATCATGACCCTCTATTAAATCAGTAAAGAAACAAATATCCACAGCTACTCCCTGGCGAGTGTGTCACCTGGAGCTGCCCATGACCTTCTGCCTGGGACTTGTGACTTGGAGCTCTCTGGGCTTCATTTTGAGAGGTTATTTGCTTCCTACCTCCACTCCTACCTGGGCCTTCCAGGGGGCATATCGCCTACACCAGCTAGTCCGTCTTTTTCAAAAGATTTTTTGGGGCACCTGGGTGGCTCAGTCAGTTAGGTGTCCAACTCTTGGTTTCAGTTCAGGTCATGATCTCAGGGTTGTGGGATTGGGTCGCACATTGGGTTCCATGCTTAGGGCAGAGTCTGCTTGGGATTCTATCTCCCCTCTCCTTGTGCCCCTCCCCACCAAATAAATGAATACATCTTTAAAAAAATAAAAAAGATTTTTAATTGTGGTAAAATACACATAACATTTATTATCTTAAACATTTTAAGTGTATAGTTCAGTGGTATTAAGTACCTTCACATTGTTGTGCAGTTGTCACCACTGTCCATCTCCAGAACTTTTCATCTTCTTCAGTTAAAACTCTGTCCCTGTTAATCACTAACTCCTGCCCCTGGGCCCCTCAAGCCCCCCACTCCCCCAACCCCTCAAGCCCACTATCTACTTCCTGTTTCTGAATCTGACTCCTCTAGAGACCTCTTTTAAGTGAGATCACCTAGCATTTGTTGTTTGTGTCTCTTATTTCACTTAACATAATGTCCTCGAGGTTCATCCATGTTTTACCAGGTGTCAGAATCCTTTTTAGAGCCGAATAATATTCCCCTGTATGAATGGACCATATTATGGCCACTGTTTGGCTATTGTGACTAATGCTGCTATGAACATGGCTGTGCAGATATCTGTTTGAGTCCCTGCTTCTTCTTCTTCTTTCTTTTTTTTTTTTTTAGGATTTTATTTATTTATTTGTCAGAGAGAATGAGAGAGAGAGAGTGCGAGCGAGTGCACAAGTAGGGGGCGTAGCCGGCAGAGGGAGAAGCAGGCTCCTCTCACAGAGCAAGGAGCCTGATGCGGGACTTGATCCCAGAACCCTGGGATCATGATCTGAGCTGAAGGCAGATACTTAACTGACTGGGATCTATCTAGAAGTGGGATTGCTGGATCATATGGTGATTCTATGTTTAATATTTTTTAAAAAGATTTTATTTATTTATTTGAAAGACAGAGATTACAAGTAGGTGGAGAGGCGGGCAGAGGGAGAGGAGGAAGCAGGCTCCCTGCTGAGCAGAGAGCCCGATGAGAGGCTTGATCCCAGAACCCCAGGATCATGACCTGAACTGAAGGCAGAGGCTTTAACCCACTGAGCCACCCAGGCACCCCTATGTTTGATATTTTTGAGGAACCACCATACTGTTTTCCACAGCAAAGTGACTCCATTTTACATTCCCACGAGCAATGCATAAGGGTTCAAGGTTTCTCTGCATTTTTGCCAATTCTCATTTCTTTTCTTGATGTTAGCCATCCTCATGATTGGTCATATCATCTGCATGACTTATAATGTAAGTCAGACCAACCCAGGGGGGGCTCTTCAAATTTGGTGATGACCCACCCATACATCTTATGTATGGAGGATATAGTTGGGCATTGGCTGATAGAAGAGCCAGTGGGTCTGAGACCCTAATGGAGGGAAACATGGTCAGGAGTGGGTGGGGACTGGTGAGGACCTGGAGTTCAGGGTTCCTTTAGCTATGTTGCCCCAGGAGGTGGAACACAGAGGTGGAACCCTTGGCTGGTTGGACTGAGTGGAAAGTAGAGATGAAGACAGAACCCATCCATTTTCAGGAATGTCCTTGTCATTGTCTGAGGTCTGTGAGCCCCCAAAGTGATGGAGTTTGGCCGTTGGTGGGGGTTCAGGGGGCCTCTGCTAGCTCCAATCTCTCTTTAATTAGAGGAACTGAGATTCAATTGTCCAGAAAATGGAGAGAAGGTAAAACCTAAGTGCCCTTTAAGATTCCATAAAACGAGGCATGCACATCCCTGAGTGTGGCGCATGGCTCATTGCAATGCTCCACACCTGGTCACTGTGTTATTAATACTATTGTTTCCTACCCACTTTATTTGGGTTCCTTCAAGAGCTGACCCTCGGGCAAGGATTTGAGTGCAAGGAGCTTATTTGGGAAGTGACCACAGAACATACCAGTAAGGAAAAAGGAAGTGAACCCCAAAGAATTGAAAACAGAGACTCTGACACGTACCTGTACATGCGTGTTCATAGCTGCACATTTCACAATCAGCGGAGGTGGGAGCAGTTCAGGTGTTCATCAACAGGTGAATGGATAAACAAATTGTGATACATCCTGACAATGGAATATTACCCAGCAGTGCAAGACATGAAGTTCCAATGCACGCTACAATGAGGATGACCCTTGAACACATCACTGCTGGGTGAAAGAAGCCAGACACAAATAGTCACATAATAGATGATCCCATTGATATGAAACAAAGTGTCCGTAGAAGCAGAAAGCAGATTAGGGGTGCCTGGGTGGCTCAGTCGGTTAAGCATCCAGCTTTTAGTCTCAGCTCAGATCTTGAGCTCAGAGTCGTGAGTTCAAGCCCTGCATTGGGCTCTGCGCTGGGCATGGAGCCTACTTGGAAGAGAGAGAGAGAAAACAAGCAAGCAAGCAAGCAAATTAGCAGTTGCCAGGGATTGAAAGTACAGGCGAATGGGGAATGACTCATTGGGATGGGATTTCCTTTCGGGGTGAGGAAAAAATTTGGAGCTAGATTGAGGGGGTAGTTGCACGGTGAATGTATTAGATGCTACTGAATTGTACACAGTTGGCCTTTGGACAACACGGGTTCGAGCTGCATAGGTCTGCTTATATGTGGAATTTTTACAGTGCAGTCCCATAAATGGATTTTCTTTCTTAAGAGTTTTGTAATCTTTTCTTTTCTCCAGCTGACTTTTCTGTAAGAATATAGCATATAATACATATACAAAATATGTGTTAATTGACTTTATGTTGTCAGTAGGATTTCCAGTCAGTAGTAGACTATTAGTAGTTAAGATTTTGGGGAGTCAGAAGTTATATATGGAATTCTGACTGCTTTGTGGGTTTGGTACCCCTAACCCTTTCATTTTTCAGGGGCAATTATACTTTCAAATGGTTCATTTTATGTTGGGTGAATCTCACATGAATTAAATAAAAAAGAAAAAGAGGCCAGACAAGGGAAGGGAGGCATCTAATAGAGAAAGTTCCTGTGGTGGGCAGCTAGGGTTTAATCCCCCTGGGGAAGCCTGGTGGCTCATGTGGAGCCCACATCTCAGGGTCATGGCACCCCCAAGGGAGAATGTATCTATCCAGCAACATTTATCAGTTGTTTGTTAAGAGCTGCTTTCAACGTGTGTGTGTGTGTGTGTGTGTGTTTAAATTTTCCAACACTCTGGCCATCCACATATGGGCAAGGAGTCAGGAGGGATGCCATGCAAAGTCAAAGCTGAGGGCATGTGGACCGGGCACTGGTGCATTCATCTGGCTAGCTAGCTGAAGGTCACTGCTGGGGGAAGGTTGAGAGGTATCCTTGGGGTCTGGGACTCCTGTGTATTAAGCACCTACTGTGTGCCAAGTACACGCTGCTTGAATCCACAGGTCATCCTGTGTGTGGTGCACACATGGCCAGAGGATGGCTCCTACTTGCACTGACCCCCCTCATCCCGTCTGTCCTCTCAGGATGCTGCCCATCACAGAACACGTGCTGCACCTCCTGGGAGTGGAGAAGACCACGTTCCGCCTGTATGCAGTGTCTGTGCTCCTCCTCTCCCTGCTCTTCTTCCTCTTCCGCCTGCTGATGCAGTTCCTGAGGCTCTGCTGGCGTTTCTATATCACCTGCCGCCGCCTGAGCTGCTTCCCCCAGCCGCCCCGGCGCAACTGGCTGCTGGGCCATCTAGGCATGGTACGTGTGTGTGGCCGGGCAGGGGGACTGGGCAAGTCCCCGGTATTCAGTAAGGATGATGGACCTGACTGTTTCCTTCATCCCCCAAGAATGCGGAGCCATGAACAGACCCATTTTACAGGATCGAGTAGGGTTTCAGAGAGGGCAAGCATTTTACCAGAGGTTACACAGCTGGGATGAGGCAGAATGACTCTAACGTTTTCTCTGTAACTTCAGGCCATTGCTTAGCAACAGGTACAAGTGCCTGTGAAGGTTGTCAGGTTCTGTGATCCCCAGGCAGGAGGCGGGGGTGGGGGGATCTCCTGTCCACGTTGTTGCTCTGCCCCTGCACCCCCCCCCATGTGTTTGTACCCTCTCTCTCATTCTCTTACCTTCCCTTTCATGTCTTACTTCACACACAGGTGTTAAGCATTAGGTCAGGTGCTTTAAAAATATTAACTCTGTCCTCTTGACAGTCCTCAGAGGTGGTTCCCAAGACTACCCCCGTTTTGCTTCTGAGACTATTATGGCACAGAGAGGTTAAGTAGCTGGCCCTATGACACACAGCTTGTCGGTGGCAGAGTTGGGGTTCAAACCCAGGCCATCTGTCTCTAGAGTCTCTGCTCTTAGCTCTGTACTCTCTGCCTCCTCTTGTTTTGGGATGATGAAACCTGCACTTTTCTAGAAGGGCTTCAGAGGTCAGAGGAAGCCAGAATCCTGAGGCTTTTAGGGTCCTACAGTCCAGCTCCTAACTGGCTATAGCCCTCATCTGGTCCCCCTTCCAGGCCTCAAGGAAACAGAGGGACAGTTGTGGAGAATTCCTGGTTCAGGCCTCATACCTGGGCAGATGTGGAATTCAGAGAGGCAGTTCAAGGGCAGTTGGACAGGGCCAGTTCTGAAATCCAACCTTGACCATGTGGACCCAGCCTGCCTCCTGGGGCCATGAGTTCTCAGTGATTCCATGGTTTCTCTTGGGTGTAGATGGGCTCAGGGTGAACCTGGTTGAGAAGGAGACACAGGAGCCAGAGAGAAGTCATTTGCTGACTTGTTCACCCATTCATTTATTCATTTGATTGGCAATTGCTGGGCCTTGCGTTTGGCCAGGCAGGGGGTTAGGTCCCTTAATACCTGAGCTCTCCCCTAATTCTCACAGCCCGTGGAATAGGGATGGATCTACCCAATATTATGGATTTGATCTTTGGAGCTCAGTGAGGTTAAGTGACTCAACCAAGGTCACACAGCTGCTGTGAGCAGATCTGAGCTCAGATCCTTCTGACCCTGGGCCTGACATACTTCTGCCCCGTGTTTGTTAAGAGCATGCATTTTGGAGCCTGGGGGCCTCTGTTCAGATCCTGGCTTTGCCGCTGTGGCCGGAGACGCCGGTGCCTGCCCGGATCCTTGGGCTCATTTCTGGATGTGATGGCCTGACCTCCAGCTGCCAGAACCTGCGTTCTAGGGCTTTCTCTCACACTGTGCACTGTGGGCTTGAGAGTTGATGCCCCGGGAGTGACCCCCAGCCAGTGACTATGGGACGGTAGGAGTTGACGTGTAAACACTCCAGCTTACTCGTCCTCTGCTGGGTTGACGTTGATTCACGTGTCCCCTAGAGGTCCCCAGGAAGACGGAGCACTGAGTTGCCATGGCCATAACTCTCTCGGCAACTCCCCCTTTACTGGCTGCCTTCCCTCCCTGTCTCACTTTCCATAGCCCCCTGCCCACGTTTTTGGGGGATCCCCCTCCAAATGAACCACTAGCTCTAGCTAGAGCTCTTGTCTCAAGACCTGCCTCTGGGGAAGCCCAAGCCAAGACATTGACTCACCTGTCACTTCAGACAAGTCATTTGGCCTTTCTGAGCAAAGGACAATGGGGAAAATCGTAGCAACTTGGTCACATAATACTTGTGTATTTTGAAGGTATGAGTTTGTGAGAAAGGTATGAATATATGAAAAGTGTTCATAGCAGTGCCTAACACTGCAACCCTGTGTATGTGTTAAAAATAACAATACTAGGGGGGCCTGCGTGGCTCAGTTGGTTAAGCAACTGCCTTCAGCTCAGGTCATGATCCTGGAGTCCAGGGATCGAGTCCCACATCGGGCTCCCAGCCCCACGGGGAGTTTGCTTCTCCCTCTGACCTTCTCCCCTCTCATGCTCTCTCTCACTCTCTCTCTCAAATAAATAAATAAAATCTTTTAAAAAAAATAACAATACTAGTAATTTTATTCCTAACAGAGCAAGTACTCAATAAATGCATGATTGTGCTTGTGGTTACTGTTTTTTATTTCTTGGACACCAGCTATGCGTCAGGCCCTTGTGCGGGGCTCTCTCATTTTGTTCATTCATGTATTTTCTCAACCGCCCTCAGGCAGAGATTCCATTCTTCCCCACTTCTCAGATGAGCAAATGCCGGCTTACCAGGTGCAGCCTTCATCAGCCAATCCTATAGCTATTCTGGGATCATTTGGAGGACAGGGGATGTGGCTGGAGGGAAAGGCTAGGGGAAGCTGGGGCTGGGCTCCTCCTCACTCTCTTTCCCTACCACCCCCTGCAGTATCTTCCAAATGAGACGGGTCTCCAAGATGAGAAGAAGGTGCTGGACAACATGCACCATGTGATTCTGGTGTGGATTGGACCTGTGTTGCCGCTGTTGGTTCTGGTGCACCCTGACTACATCAAGCCCCTAGTGGGCGCCTCGGGTAGGTGGGCTGGGCCTTTGAGTGATGGGTAAGCCCTGAACTCCCAGAGCTCACCTGGGCTTCTAGGCATGCAGGCTCTCCAGGGGAAGGGCCATTTGAGCAGGGATTTGAAGGATGAATAGGAGTTCACCAAAGCAGCCATAGTAATACAGGTAGTGGGAATAGCATGGGAAAAGATAGACAATATCTAAGAGTCCCGGGAGTTTGAGAGGATGTCTACCCCCCCGCCCCGGAAGTCAGAGCTAAACATGCTTGGATAGGCAGTTGTGGGCCCAGGATTTTGTTAAATGGTTGCTGCTTAATTCTAAGCTATGGTAGCCGAACATTTGGCTTCTGACATTCCCACTGTGGCTCTTCCAGCTTCATCTGGGCTGCCTCTGATTGGTGGAAGAGGAGATGTAGAAGGGTTGTTTCTCCCTTCTGAGGTCCACACTTCTTCGAAGGTGTAGGACCCCCAGGTGTGCTTGGCAAGCTCTCGTTCAGCCTTTAACATGCAGATCCAATGACCGCCTTCTCCAGGAAGACCTGGGGGTGACCCTCCAGGCAGATCATAGTGTTCTTCTCTGGGCTTCTCCATTCTCAGTCCTAACCCTCTAAGGCTGAGTGTGTCTGCATCCAGCCCTGTCCCTCTCATAGGAGTCTGGATCTGCAGTGTGGCCTCGCATGTAACTGGGCATCTCCAGAGGCATCAGGGTATTTGAGAGAGTGGGGAGGAATGAAAGAGCTCCAGGAATTTTATATCTCTGGCCCCAGCCTGGGCCTTTGCACCCATGTCTAGAGACTACTATCAAGGTTGCCACCCTGGAACCATGAAAGCAGAAAGGGCTGCTATCCTTACCTCCCCAGCTATGCCCTCCCCACCATTGCTGCGTTTGTGAGGGGGTGTCCACCTCACTGCACAAATGGGGAACCTAGACCCTGGGAAAGGTGACTCTTCCAAGGAATGGTACCAATTGTGGGAAGAGCCCTGGGCTAGGACTTAGGCAGGCTGGGCTCTGATCCTACCTGGAGCCATAACTGTTGTGTGACCAAGAAATTCATCTAGCCTCACGGGGCCTCAGTTTCTGTTCTGTAAAATGGGGTGGTTGTGAAGGCTCCAGATGATGTGCGTAGGTGCTCATGAGGGTTTGTTCTCTCCTGCCTTTCTCAATCCTGTTTTTCTTTCTTTCACCTTCTCTTTCTTCCCCCCTACTCCTAAGAGCTTCAGTTTCTTGAGTACTGTCCTCTCTGGTTGTGAGACCCCAAGTAGAATAGGGAGTGGAGCCCTCAGTGTGGCTTCAGCACGTAGTAGATGCTCAGGCCTCTGCCTCTCCTCTCCTCGCCCCTCCCTTCCCTCAGGATGGGCAGGACATCCACTACCGCCCCCTGCTGGAGGAGTCAGATGGGGGCTCTAGCTTGAGAGGGTGGGGCTGTGAGTCAGGACAGATAGGCCTGACCCCAAGCTGTGGATCCCATTCCCCACTGGGACCTCCACAGGACCATACCTGGGGAACCGGCTGCTCTGAGCCCAAATCCCCACGGCCCATGGAGCCTGAGAAAGGCACAGCTCCTCTTGGACCTCTCTTTCTTCGTCTTATATTAGGCAATTGGGATAGAGAGGATTAATGGGCAAAAGGAGGTGAAAATGATTTATAGAGGCTGAAACGTGATATATAGGCATGTAATTATAGCTTGTCTTTCTACATTCATTTTGTATGGAGTTGGAATTTGCATAACATATAATTAACCATTTCTAGTGTTCCCAGTGTTGTGCAACCCTTGGCTCTCTCTTGTTTCAAACTTTTTCATGGCTCCATAAAGCAGCCTGAACCCATTAAGTAATTACTTCCCATTCTCCTCTGCCCCCATCTCCTTTCTATCTCCACGGCTTTGCCTGTTCTGGATATATCATAGGAAAGGAAAGGAATTATACACAATGTGGTCTTTTGTGACTGACTTCTTTCCCTCAGCAAAATGTTTCTGACATTTATCCACAGTGTAGTGATGACCAAGACCTTACCTCATTTTTGTTTTAATTTTTTAAAAAAAAGATTATTTATTTATTTATTTGACACAGAGAGAGAGATCACAAGTAGGCAGAGAGGCAGGCAGAGAGAGAGGGGGAGGCAGGCTCCCCGCTGAGCAGAGTGCCCAATGCGGGGCTCGATCCCAGGACCCTGAGATCATGACCCGAGCCGAAGGCAGAGGCTTAACCCACTGAGTCACCCAGGTACCCTGACCTCTTTTTAAGACTGAGTAATATTCCATTGTTTGGATATATGGATATACTACGCTTGTTTATCCACTCCTCCACTGACAGACATTGGGTTGTTTCTACCTTTGGGCTGTTATGAATGTTGCTGTGAACATGCATGTACAAGTTTCAGTGTGGTTGTATGTCTTCATTTCTCCTGGGTAGATCCCAAGGAGTAGAAACGGAGGGTCAAATGGGAATTCTATCTTTAACTTTTTAAGGAACCACCAAACTGCTTTTCATGATAGCTAGGCATTTATTTTTCACTAGTAGGACCTTGCTGGGGGCTGGAGATGCAGATATTCATCTTACAAGTTCTTGACACCAGTGACCAATAATTATAATCATAGTTATAAAAATAGCCAGCAGTTGGTTAATTATTCATTTATGTGTACAAATATTTAATGAACTCCTGCCATGTGCCAGGAACATATGAGCTCATTGAGTTTTTGTAGGGATGCTATGAGGCAGGCAGGGTTTGCTCTGTTTCTCCTCTGGAAGCTGAGGAAGTGGAGGGACAGAGGGCTAAAGTGCCCAAGTTTACACAGTGAGTTAGAGGTAGGGCTGGGATTTAAACCCAGACGTGGTCCACCCAGAGGCCAAGCTCTCAACCACAGTGATACGATCCTTCCTACTGAGCACTGGGTGGGGCCTTTTCTTATATGACCCCCTCCAGGGTAGATGTTACCATCCCCTTTTTACTGAAGGGGACACTGGTGAGAAAGGCAGCCCAGACACAGACTCCTGGAATCAAGTAGTCAGAGTTGGAGGGGAGTAGGGACCCAAGGATGGGAGAGCAAGAGTTCAGCTGGGGAGACTTCCTGGAGGAGGTGTCAGTGAAGGATGTTTGGAGTTTGTCAGGTGAGAAGTGTCAGGTGGAGGGTTTGCCAGGACCAAGATGCAGATGTGTGAAAGTGCCAAGGGAATTCAGGTGACTTGTGGTGTCTGGAGGGAAGATGATATGTGGGGAGGAGTAGGCAATGAGACAGGAACTGGACTCAGAACACCCACGTGCAAAGCAAATAAGCTTGTGTTTTATCCTGGGGGCATTAAGGAATGATAGGTGGTGTCTGAGCAGGACAGCCATTGAACAGGTCTGTATATCGGAAAGACCCTCAAGGGGCCTGGGCTGGAGTCCAGATCCCAGAGAGTAAAGGAGTGACTAGACTTCCACCTTCTTCTCCAGTGCTGCCTCTTCCTGGAAGCCTGTCTTGAATTCTAGCAGCCCTTTCTCTGTGCCTCCCTTTGCTTCTGGCACGCTTTCTATCTTCTTGATAATTGCACAGCGTGCTTCTGCTTCCCTTTCTTGCCCCACCCGGAGCTCCTCCAGGCAGGGTGTGGAGCTGAGCCATCTCTGGTCCCCAGTGTTGCGTAGCATGGGTTGGGTACAGGAAGATGGTAGAAGAGATGTCCTGAATAGGAGGATGAGTGGACAGATGACTGTGTGCACAGTTGGCCAATTCCTAGGTAGTGTGTGTGTAGGTGGCTGAGTCACGTCTCAGATAAAAGTGACATCACTTGAATTTCAGGTACTTCCTTCCTGGGCCTCAGCCCATTCTGTCCCACGTTTGCTCAACACACTGAAAGGGAATTCACTCGCTAACCCATCCATCTATCCATCTGTCCATCCATTTTTGTATTCATTCAACCTTTGGTTGGATCATTCAATAAAAACTATTTAACACTAGGGGTGCCTGGGTGGCTTAACTGGTTAAGTGTTTGACTCTTGACTTCGGCTCAGGTCGTGATCTCAGGGCTGTGAGATCGAGCCCCATGTTGGGCTCTGTGATGGGCATGGAGCCTACTTAAGAGTTCTCTCCCAGGGTGCCTGGGTGGGTCAGTTGGTTGATTGTCTGACTCTTGACTTTATCTCAGGTCATGATTTAGGGTTGTGGGATGACGTGCTCTGTGTGGAGTCCACTTGTCCCTCTTCCTCTGCTCCTCCCCCTGCTTTCTCTCAAATACATAAATAAAATCTTAAAAAAAAAAAAAGACTGTCTCTTCCTCTCCCTCTGGTCCTCCTCCCCCCTCCCTCTCTGAAAAACATTATTTAGCCCAGTATATCAGTGATCAGCATGTTCTCTCCTCTCAAGGGGACTGTAACTGGATGGATACAATCCAGAGGGACTGGTGGAGGAGGGATAGCATCCAAGCAGAGGCTCGAAGAATGAGGGGAGAGTGTTTGAGGCAGAGAGGGCATGTGGTAGAAAGACCTGGAATAGAGAGATAATGTGACTTTTTCAAGGAGATGAAAAAAATTCTGTGATGTTAGAAGATTGAGCATACAGAGAATGGAGGATGAAAGTGTTTTTAGAGAGGTCTGGACTGAGGTAGGTCATTCAAGGTTTTGAAAATGGTCTGAGCATCTGGTGGTTGCGGCTTATGGGTGTGAGTGGGAAGGGACATGGTCAGATCCAGCATCTGATAAGACCTCCTGGGACCAGAGTGCAGTGCAGACCGGAGACTGAGAGCACAGGAGGTGTAATTCAGATGGCCTGAGTTGGCAGAAAAGAGGGGTGATGAGGGTGAAGAGGGTCATTCCGGATGGAGAGCACAGCCTGGACAAAGGTTTGGAAGTAGGGCCAGCATGTGGGATTATTTGGTGTATGTTGATGGGAGAGATAGGAGAGGCATATGGGGCAAGATGGTGCATGGCCTTCAGTGCTTGCTTGAGCTTGAATTTTATTGCCAGAGTGATAGGGAGCCATGGGAGGTTTCTAACCAGGGGAGGCTCATGTTCAGATCAACATGTTATAGGATCTTTCTGGGGCAGGTGTGGAGGATGGACTGGAGGGGTGACATGGAGGTCAGAGCTCAGAAAAGAGGCCCAAGGAGCTCATAAGCAGAGGTCAAGGGTTAGAACTCTGTTTTGAGTCCTTGCCACATCTTCTTTCTCCACAGCTGCCATTGCCCCCAAGGATGATCTTTTCTATGGTTTCCTGAAGCCTTGGCTGGGTGAGTATGGGACTGGGTGAGTTGGGCTGGGGCTTCGGGGATAGATGGATAGATGGATGGATAGATGGGGTGGGGTTTCTTGTAGTGTTTCAGAGTAGGAGGAGAGGCCCTTAATTTCAGTCTTCTGGGTCCAGGAGATGGGCTGCTGCTGAGCAAAGGTGACAAATGGAGCCGCCATCGCCGCCTGCTGACGCCTGCCTTCCATTTTGACATCCTGAAGCCCTACATGAAGATCTTCAACCAATGCACAGACATTATGCATGTGAGTTGCAAGGTTTCTTGGGAAGAGGGTGTCCTGGGAGTGAGATAGGTCCAGGCTCTGACTAGTGGATAAGCCAGGTGATGTTAGGAAGCTTCACTTCCTTTATTCTATAAAGTGGGCTTGTAGCGAGCGGGCAGCTAGGTCGTTGGAAGCCTGGCTTAAAGTCTGCGATCTCTGCATCCTTTTGCCATGCGTCTCTCTCTTCCAGGGTAAATGGCGGCGCCTGGCACAGGGCTCCGTGGTCTCCCTTGACATGTTTGAACATGTCAGCCTCATGACCCTGGACAGTCTTCAGAAATGTGTCTTCAGCTACAACAGCAACTGCCAGGAGTGAGTGTGGCCTCCCTGGGGAAGACAGAGACTGTTGCTCTAGAGCAGGGTGGTGGGAGAAAAAAGGAAACTCTCAAGCATTAGGCATCCCTGGGCTGTTAGGCTCTGCCACAGATGGGCTGTGTGTTTCTGAAAACTAACATCACCTCCCTAAGCCTCTCTCCTTACCCAAAAGTGGAATCCCAATTCCTTCCCCATAGCCATCGTGTGACCATTGAGATAATGTAAATTGATGGCTTTGCATATAGTAAGTGCTTAATAAATGCTAGTTTCATTGCTCCATGAAGAGTAGTTTGGCCTCTGGAAAGTATCTCCCCATTTTCTGAGCTACGGTGTCCTTTTTTTGTAAAACAAGGACGACAGTCCTTGACCCTCTGAGAGATGCTTTAAGCATAAAATGATGTTGGGGCGCATGGGTGACTCAGTCAGTTGAGCTTCCAACTCTTGATTTTGGCCCAGGTCATGATCTCAGGGTCATGGGATCAAGCCCCCTGTTGAGCTCTGTGCTTGCAGAGCCTGCTTGAGATTCTCTCTGTCCCTCTCCTTTTGCCCCTCCCCCCCGCCCCTGCTCTAAATAAATAGCATTCTGTCCTTCAAAAAAAAAAAAAAGAATAAAATGATGCCACACTGCCCTGGCACACAGTAGATGCTAAGTGAATATTTGTTGAATGAATGAATAAGATGACCATTGTCCTAGTTCATTCATTCATTCATTCATTCATCGTATATTTTTGTGTCCCTACTGTGTGCAGGAGATTATGCTAGCTACTGGGAATATGGTGGTGAACAAGAGACTAAGTTCCAGTTCCTCGGAATTTATAGTCTAAGTGGGTACATATCGAATAAGAGACGTTGTAAATGGCAAGTTTGTAGCACATAGTAGGTCTTTAATAATAAGCTTCTGCCTTTGCTACTCTGGGCTTTGTAGGGTTATGGGTTGGGTAAGGTAGAGATGACCTTAGTGATTGATTAATTAATTAATTGAACTGGAAATATTTACTGAGTACCTACTATGGGCCACTCTTGGACTAGGCACTATGAATACAGTGGTCAACAAAATAGAAACGGTCTTGCTCCCCTGGAATTTACATGTTGGTGGGAAGAAAGGCAGTAACGATGCACAAATAAATAAACAAGAAAATGACAAACTGAGAAGTGTATGAAAAGAAGCGTACTTCAGGACCAAGGACAGCCCCTTGCACACCTGTTCCAGTGATTTCATTTTTTTTTTCTCATTTTTAAAGACATTTATCTATTTATTTGAGAGACAGAGAGTGAGCATGGGGTACGGGGGATGGAGGGGCAGAGGAAGAGGGAGAGAGAGTCTTAAGAAGACTCTATGCTGAGTGTGGAACCCAATGCAGGGCTTGATCTCATGACTTTGAGATCAGGACCTGAGCCAAAACCAAGAGTCAGATACTTAACCAACTGTGCCACCCAGGCACCCCTTCATTTTTTTTTTAATTATAATGGTTTTACTGAGATATAACTCATATACCATATGATTCACCCATTTAAAATATACAATCCAATGGTTTCTAGTGTATTTACAAATTGTGCAGCCATCACCATTATCCATTTTAAAATACTTCCATCAAAGATAAGCCCTGTACATTTTACTGCTCACCCCCACTTCCCACTTCTCCCAGTGTAGGCAATCACGAATCTTCCTTCTGCCCCCACAGATTTGTCTATTATGGAAATTTCATATTGATGGGATGATGCCAACTTCTCTGTCTGGTTTTGTTCACTCAGCATAATGTTCTCAAGATTCATTCATCCTGTGTCAATATTTCATTTTTTTAGATTGCTGAATAATATTCTATTTACCACATTATACCACATTTTTTTAATCCATTCATCTACTGATGGACATTTGGGTCATTTCCACTTTTTGGCTATTTTATAAACATTGGTGTATGAGTGTGTAAAAGTATGTTTTTAATTTTTTAAAAAGATTTTATTTATTTGCTAGAGAGAGTGAGAGAGCATGAGAGGGGTGAAGGTCAGAGGGAGAAGCAGACTCCCCATGGAGCTGGGAGCCCGATGCGGGACTTGATCCCAGGACTCCAGGACCATGACCTGAGCTGAAGGCAGTCGCCCAACCAACTGAGCCACTGAAGCACCCCTGTTTTTAACTTTTTAAAGTCTGTACCTAGGAGCAGAATTTCTGGATTATGTGATAATTCTTTGTTTAGATTTTGAGGAATGGCCAGACATCTTCTCCAATGTAGATGGGGCATTTTATATTCCTACCAGCAGTGTGTGAGGACTTCAATTTCTCCACAGTCTTTCCAACACTTGTTAATTTTTTTTAAACACTTGTTATTATCTGTCTTTTTGGTTCTAGCCGTTCCTAGCTGGGGCAAAGCGGCATCTCATGGTGGTTTTGATTTCCATTTCTTTAGGGGTTGGTGCTGTTAAGTATCTTTTCGTGTGCCATGTGGCCATTTGTATATCTTTTTCAGCAAGACGTCTATTCATATGCTTTGCCTATTTTTAAATTGGGTTATTTGTCTATGGTTGCATTTTAAGAGCTCTTTCTATATTTTAGATACAAGTTCGCCATCAGGAATGGGAGTTCTCCCACTTTGTGGCTTGTAGGCATTTAGTCTTAGTGATGCTACGTCTATTTGGAAGTCCTAATCCTTTGGACCTGTATTAAAATGTACCTGGGTTTTGGTTTTATTCAGGTATGATGAGGCCAACAAACAGAGCAGATTATTGCCATTAAAAAATAATTTGTTGGGGCGCCTGGGTGTCTCAATCGGTTGAGCGTCTGCCTTCGGCTTAGGTTATGATCCCAGGGTTCTGGGATGGAGCCCTGCATCGGGCTCCCTGCCCATTGGGGAGCCTGCTTCTCCCTCTCTCTCTGCCTGCTGCACCCCTTCCTTGGGCTCTCTCTCTCATTCAACTCAATAAATAAAATCTTAAAAAAGTAAAACGAAAATCTAGTCTATGCAGGGCCTTTCTCTGTCACCTACGCACGGGGAGGAGAAGCTTGTCTTAGGGGCCAGGTCCATGCTCCTGTCTCTTCTCCCCTGCACCTCCCCAACAGGAAGATGAGCGATTACATCTCAGCCATCATTGAGCTGAGTGCCCTCGTGGTCCGGCGCCAGTATCGCCTGCATCACCACATAGACTTCATCTACTACCTCTCAACGGATGGGCGACGTTTCCGGCAGGCCTGTGACACCGTGCACCGCTTCACCACCGAGGTCATCCAGAAGCGGCGGTGGGCGCTCCGTCAGCAGGGGGCTGAGGCCTGGCTGAAGGGCAAGCAGGGCAAGACGTTGGACTTCATCGATGTGCTGCTCCTGGCGCGGGTGAGGCTGGGCCCTGGAGGGTGGAGACCGGCACAGGACGGTCTCCTGGAGGATTGCACTGACCTTGTAAAATGATAAGCATCAAAAGTGACAGATCTGGGATGCAGGTGCAACACGCATAAGACTTACTGTATTAGTTTGTTAGGGTTGCCATAACAAAGGGCTACAAAATTGGTGTGTGTGGGGTTAAACCCCAGAAATTAATTTTCTCAAGGTTCTAGAGGCTAGAAGTCTGAGGTCAAGCTGTTGACTGGGTTGGCTTCTTCTGAAGCCTCTCTCCCTGGCTTGTAGATGACACTTTCTCATGTGCCTTCACGTTGTCGTCCCTCTGCTTGCGACTGTGTAAGTTTCCTCTTCTTCTAAGGACACCAGTCGTGTGGGGCCAGGGTCCACCCTAAAGACCTCATTATAATTGAATTGGTTTCCAAATATGGTTACATTCTGAGGTCCTGGGAGGGGAGGTGAGGACTTCACCATATGAGTTCTGGAAGCAGGTGGGACACAATGTTGCCCACCAGACTTATGATGATGAAATAACAAGACTGAAGAAATGTGACAGTTGCAGAGATCGCTTCTGTGGAATTTCTGAGCAGTGCTTGGCTTCTAGATTCAGACAGTCCTGGGTTCCAGTTCTGGCCCTGCTCCTTAATGGATACTTCACCCTAGGCCTCTCACGCTCCCCTCCGAGTCTCAGTTTCCCTATTTATGACATGATGGTTACGCGGCGTGGTCACAGGTGTTTGTTGGGCATCCAGCAGGCTGTCTGGTGCTAGCAGCTACTCAAGAAGTGCAAACTCCCTTCTTCCCTTCACCTTTCACCCTCCCTCCTGCTTTCCATCTTTCTTAGACAAGCTGCATACCTCTGTCTGCCTGGAATCCTTCCCCCTGCAGCTTGGCTTGAGAGAGGTGCAGATATCTTGACTTGAGAGGGGCCCGGGAAGTGGAGGGTGGTCCACGAAGTGGGCTGAGCATCCCCTCTGGTTCATTCCAGGATGAAGATGGGAAGGAACTGTCTGATGAGGACATCCGAGCTGAGGCGGACACCTTTATGTTTGAGGGTGAGGATGTAGGGTAAGGCTAGGGGAGGTTGGGAGGGGCCCGCTGTCTGAAAATCGCATGATCGCTGTCTTCAGACAGCCTCCATTTGAGCTCCTCCTCTGTCTACAGGTCACGACACAACGTCCAGTGGGCTCTCATGGGTGCTCTTCAACTTGGCCAAGTATCCAGAGTACCAGGAGAAATGCCGGGAAGAGATCCAGGAAGTCATGAAAGGCCGGGAGCTGGAGGAGCTGGAGTGGTCGGTTTGGGTGCCGGGGGGGATGGTGGCGACAGGTTGAGTCTAGAGCTTGCATTTAGTCCTTGCTCTTGCTTGTCATTACTCTTGTTCCTTCTGGGTGTTGTTGAGTGGGGTGGTGTCCAAACAGATGTATGGGTTCAGGTCTGTTCCACATGTCTCCCCACTCTCCTTGAACCAGCAGCTACCCTGGGTACATTCTTCTCAAGGGAGATTCTAGGAGCACAAAGAGCCACAGTTTAAAACCTCCGCTTGCATTGTAACATTCCATTTGGCTAAAGCAAGTCACGTGGCCAAGTTCAATATGAATGGGGCAGGACATACATTCCACTCGCCGAGCAGAAGACACTGCAGAATCACATGCAAATTTCATGAGGTGTGTAATTCAAACACAGATGTAGAGGGAGGGCAGTGAAGAACTGGCAACAATAATCCAGTTTACTTTAGATGTGTGCCACGTAGAGCTGATTCTGGGTGCCTCAGAGAAAACACAGCATTAAATAGCATCGGACAGTAGAAAGCTCTTTTTTGTTCAGTGTCCACCTTTTAGATTTTGACGTTAAGGAGACACTCCCAGTTGGGTGCTGTTGTATCTTGAACTCCTTGCGAATCTGCCCCTCTCTTTTTTAAAAAAGAGTTTATTTATTTATTTATTTAATTGTCAGAGAGAGAGAGAGCACAAGCAGGGGGAGCGGCAGGCAGAGGGAGAAGCAGGCTCCCTGCTCAGCAAGGAGCCCGATGTGGGTTCCAATCCCAGGACTCTGGGATCATGACCTGAGCCAAAGGCAGATGCTTAACCAACTGAGCCACCCAGGGATCCCATGAATCTGTCTTTTTTTTTTTCTTTTTTTTTAGATTTTATTTATTTATTTGACAGACAGAGATCACAAGTAGGCTGAGAGGCAGGCAGAGAGAGAGAGGTGGAAACAGGCTCCCCACCGAGCAGAGAGCCCAATGCGGGGCTCGATCCCAGGACCCTGGGATCATGACCTGAGCCGAAGGCAGAGGCTTTAACCCACTGAGCCACCCAGGTGCCCCGAATCTGTCTTTTTTTAATGAAGGGAGAAGATGGCTCAGTTTCTGAGGACTGGGTAGGAGATAGTCTAGCTAGTATTTAATGACTCTTCTGTTTTCCCCCGTGGTGTTTATGTTATGGATACTTTTATGCTAGGCATGCTATTTGCCCTTTATGGTAGCGACATAAAGTTTCTTTGAAAGAGAAAGAAAATGATCCAGATCATGGATAAGGGGTTATAATTAGTCCAATTTGGGGCCCTGGAGTCCAATGGAAAAAAGTTAATAATAGCATAAGGAGAGAATGTATGGGTTTTTAAATACTGAAATTGACCCATCCAGCCTGGTAAACTGCTGCTAATAACCCCCCTGCCTATCCTGGCACCACTTCCAGCTCTCCTGACTGCCACATAATTCATCAGTTAAAGGGTTAATGCTGGGTGTGCAGAAGCCTGTTGGTGCTGCTCTGATTGGTTTCGGGTCAGATATTTTGCATGCCAGGGATTAGTGATATGTGCATGCCTGATTGCAGATGCTGGAAGTTGGGGCAAGTCTGAGATCCTGGACTGGTTTCCTATGTGGTTGCTCCTGGATGCATGTGTGCATGCATGTGCATGTTTGGGGAAGGGGGTGTTGCTGTGGCCTGGCCCCAAGTCACACACTATTCCATGTTCCGTGCTCCCCAGGGACGACCTGACTCAGTTGCCCTTCACCACCATGTGCATCAAGGAGAGCCTACGCCAGTTCCCGCCAGTGACCTTGGTCTCCCGCCGCTGCACGGAAGACATCAAGCTTCCAGATGGGCGCATCATCCCTAAAGGTGCCCATAAGGTCCCTCTGGTTGCTGGGCTGATCTGCTGCCCAGGGGGGCACTGCTCATGCCTGGCCCAGGTGCACCCTCTGGGGCATCTCTCTGGGTGGCTCTTGCTTCTGGGATGAGGGAGGAGACCCAGCTGTGTAGGGGGGATGCAGAGTTGGGTGAGTCCAGGTGGAAAGGCAAGAGTGGGTGGGGCTGGGTGGGCCCTGTGAGGGGGCAGGTAGGGGATGGATGGTTTCATTCAGTTGCCAGATATCCCTTGGAGACTAAGACCAAGTGATACTGGAGTTCTAGAGAGGCTTCATTCCCAGACCCAGGTCTTGAGTACCACCCAGTCTGAGGGAGACACAGCAGGGCGCAGACATCCCAGTCACATGGGATCAGGGATGGGCTAAAGGGAAGAACAGGGGCTGGAATAGCCCAAAATAAGGAGTGATGACTTTATCTGGGGTGAAATGTAGGGAGGGCTGCTTGGAAGAGGCAACGTGAAAGGTGAACCTTGGAGGTTGAAAATGAAAGAGAGCATATTTATGGAGCAGAGTCTTGGGGTGCAGAAAGACCTTGAATGCTAGATTGAGGCATTTGAACTTGATCTTCAGGATAGTAGGGAGCCAAGGGAAATATTTGAGCTGAGGAAGAACAATGTCAGATATATGAGTGAGAAAGATCCCTGCGTGGCCAGCATGATAGCTAGAAGGGTGATGGAGACCTTTTAGGGAGCAGCAGGGGGAGTGGACACAGCAGCAGAATTTTTCAGAGAAGGATGGGTGGGAAAGGGTAGCAGAGGGCTCATGGGAACAGCACAGCTCCAGGAAGAGCAGGGAAGGAGGAGGTCTTCAGAGAAGGCCATGGTTCCCCTCAGCCCCAATGGCCCCACTGACCGCACCCTCCCCACAGGAATTATCTGCCTGGTCAGCATCTATGGGACCCACCACAACCCCACCGTGTGGCCTGACTCCAAGGTGAGCCCCTGCATCAATTCTCCCTTCTCTTAGCTTCTTCCTCCTTGGAACGGGTGGTCCTGGGGCAGTGAGGCCTCCCTACCCTGCGTGCCAGGGACCCAGATGGCCTGGCTGGGTACAGAGCTGGTCACCCTCTAGTCACCCTCCATTGGTTCATTAGGTCCACAAATATTTACTGCATACCTCCCGTGTGCCAGCCTCTGTGCTATGCACTGAAGACAGAGAAAGTTACTGTCTTTGCCCTCATGGAGCTCACGGTGACATTTAGGGGAAGAAAATAAGCAAAAACTATTGTTGTAGATATTGATATGTGCACAAAAGAGAAAAACTGGAGTGGGGTGGGGGGCACTTCATCTCAAGTGGTGAAGAAGGGCCTTGGGGAGGAAGAGATATTTGAGCTGAGACCTGAAAAATGTGAAGAGCAGGGAGAAGCCTGTTCCAGGCCGAGAAGATAGGACGTGCAAGGGCTCGGTGGTTGTAATGAGCCTGGGATGTTTGAACAACAGAAAGAAGAGGGTGTGGCTGGATTGTAGTGAGGTTTTCTCTGTCCAGCTGAAGGATGGGGGCCAAGCTGGGACAGCTGGGCAAGCCACCCAGACTCACCCCCAGGCTAATCCTGCCTAGGTGTACAATCCCTATCGCTTTGATCCGGACAACCCACAGCAGCGCTCCCCACTGGCCTACGTGCCTTTCTCCGCAGGACCCAGGTAACTCTTCTATTTCCCCCAATCCAAAACAAGCATAGGAGGAGCACGGAGGCCAGTGGAAGGTCGGGGATGTGCCGGTCAGGAGCAGAGACCGCCTCCCACCCAGATGTGCTTTCTGCCAACCCAGCACCTTCTTCATGCTTTGAATGTACCAGAATGTCCCCAAATTAGACTCTGCGATAGTAACGCTGGGTATTGAGCACCAACTGTGTGCCAGGCCCTGAACTCTGGGCTTATATGCTCGCAACGACTCTCTGATGCCACTGCCCCCATTTTACCGATGAGGCTCCGAGGGGGAGGTCATTTACCGACTCCCCCCTTCCTGGCTCACACAGCGGCTGAGCCTGAGCCCCAACCCCGTCCCCCTTCCTCTAGGAACTGCATCGGACAGAGCTTTGCCATGGCTGAGATGCGCGTGGCCGTGGCGCTGACGCTGCTGCGCTTCCGCCTGAGCGTGGACCGAACGCGCAAGGTGCGGCGGAAACCCGAGCTCATCCTGCGCACCGAGAACGGCATCTGGCTCAACGTGGAACCGCTGCCTCCGCGGGCCTGAGCGCCGGCCTCCGTGCGGATCCAGGGGGCCCAAGCCCCGCCCGGAGAGGCCCAGGCCCCGCCCCCGAGGGCCCAGTCCCCGCCCCCAAGATCCCGAGGGCAGAAACCACGCCCCTCGAAGTTCAGGTTGGGCTCCCGGAGGACCAGGCTCTTCCGCGAAGCCCAAAAGTGCAAGCCACGCCCCTCACGACAAGTCTCCGCCTCCTGCCGGTCTGGTCACGCCCCTTGAGGTCCAGGTCCGGTCCCCTGAGTGCCCGTTCCGGCTCTCCAGCTTGAGGAAACATGCTTGCTCAGGTCCCCTTGGGTCCAGACCCCTCCCAGGATCCGGAGCATTCGGGGCCTCAGGCCCCACCCAGCCATCCTTGGACTTAAGACCCAACACCTAAGGCCGCTGGGATTCAGGACCAGTTCCCTCTCCCCACCCCCCACTCGTGGATTCCAGCTGCCTTCTAAGTTGAAGACTTGGGAGCTGAAGCCTGAAGTTAGAGCCTTGAACCCGGACATCACCTTCTTGAGGCTCCCAGCTCATTTGGGCTAACTCCTCTGGCATCAGGCAGCATCCCAGGGGTCGGATGTGTGCTTCAGTTGTTTTGTAAATCTAGAGCCTCCCTCACCTGCCTCTTCCCTCCTCCGTTGCTGAAAAGCCCTTCGCTGAGCGTTCTGATTTTTGTAGAATAAAAGCAAGGGATAAAGACGGCCACCACTACCACTGTTCACCCCCTAGCTCAGCCAGACACTTCCCTTGGGGCCCAGGAAGGAAACGAAGGTCTCTGGGGAGTTGGGAGGCCCATGAGGGAAGCTATGAAGCCATGAGGGCTAGGAGGCTGGGAAGCCATTTGCCCTCAGACATAAACTTAGGCTTTTTGGGACAGTTTGTGCATTCATTTAACTCGTCAACAGACCACATGTTAATTATTTGTTGGCATTGGGCCAGGAGCACAGCTGGGCCCAATTCCTGCCCTCGGGAGAACAGGGGACAAATGTACAAGTAATTCCACACGTAAGTTTATTTATAATCCATGACAAGTGCTCCAAAAGAGAGGCCCTTGGTGCTCTGTGAACACAACAGGGGGGTGGCTCAGGGAGAGCTTCTTGGATGCTGAAGTGAGAGTACACGCTGAGTGGTGACAAGGGAGACAAGACCATGTCAGGCGGGAGGAACAGCATCTGCAAATGTCCCCAGGTGAGGGAGAGCATGATATTCTTGAGGCACACACTCCAGGGTGGCTGGATCTGGAGGAGGAGGGCAGAATGGAGGAAGGTTGCCAGGGGCCAACTGCCAGGAACTGTGGGTCACATCTCACAGCAGACCTTATGCTGTGAGATGTGGGTGATAGGGAGCTATAGTGGGTATGTGAGCAGGGTGCAGGACAGGACATGGTCAGATGTGGGTTGGCAGGGAGGTGGCTTGGGGGGGGCACTGGGGAAATCTAGTGAAGAGGGAGACTGAGGTCTGGACAGGACAGGAGGGGTGACTAGCCACAGGGGCTGAGGTGAGGGTGATTCCCGAGTCTTTGGCTGGGGAAACTGATGACGGTATAGCCCCCATAGAAGATAGGGCGGTGATGATGTCTACAATAATTGTATTAACTCATCAAATATTTACCGAGCATCCGCTGTGAGCCAGGCCGTATTTGTGCCCCTACATAATTGACTTTTGTTGTGCGGGTGGGGGGTGTTAATAGATGACAGATAATAAAGAGGCAAATAAGTAAATTCACACAGGGCTTTGGAGGATTTTGACTTTTTATTGTGACAGAAATGGGGAGCCTGGGAGGGTTCTGAGCAGAGTGACAGATTTGTCATTTGGTCTTTATAGTATTCTTTTGGCTGCTAAGTGGAAAACCAAGGGTTGGACTAGGGAGACCAGATGGGGTGACTGCGATCCCCGTTGAGAGAACTGGTAAGTGCTATGAAAAAATTGAGCTGGGTAAGTGTTGGGGGTGTTCAGTAATGCTGGTAAGGGGAGAGGTTGCTAGATCGTCAGTGAAACCCTTCCTGAGAAAGGGCCATTTCAACAAAGACTTTAGATAGGAGAGGGCAGGAGCCATGTGGATATTTAGGGGAAGAATGTTTGAGGTAAAGAGAAACAGTGCAAAGGCCCTGAGGTAGGACAGGCTTGGGGTGTTTAGGGGACATTGAGGAGATCTGTGTGGCTGGAGGAGGAGCATGGAAAGAGATGAGGGCAGGCAGGGGATGGGAGCAGGTCACAGAGAGCCTTGAAGTCCACTGACTTTTATTGTGACAGAAATAGGGAGCTATGGAGGGTTCTGGACAGAGGAGGGACAAAGTTTGTCATACAGTCTTTGGTTGCTCTGTTGAATAGAGACTGTAAAGTGAAGATGGGACTAGAGAGAGCAGATGGGGTGACCAGATTTGTCCAGGTGAGAGAGGACAATGTCTCCAAGCAAGCTGGGGGGACTGTAGAGTGAAGACAGGTGCTTGGATTCTGATGTCTGATTGCTTTATGAAGGTAGAGCTGGCAGATTTGCTGATACTTTGAATGAGGAACTCAGGAGAAAGGGAGGCCCCTGGATTTAGGTCTGAGCACCTGGAAAGATAGAAGTGACAGCTTGAGATGGAGAACTCTTAATAGAGTAAGGGTTTTTTTTGGGGGTGGGGTGGGGAGGGGCTGAGATCAGCATGTCAGTTTAGGCCCGGAGGAGTTGGAGATGTCAAGTGTGCAGTTGGATAGGCAGGTCTTGAATTCAGGAGGGAGTTCCGGGCTGGTGATACACATTTGGGATACCTCAGCACTTAGATGATTGTTTATAAAGACCCAAGACTGGTGCGATCCCCGTGTGTGTGTGTGTGTGTGTGTGTGTGTGTGCGCGCGCGCGCGTGTCTATGCGCCCGTGTGCACCCTTGTGCGCACAAGATGGAGGGGTTTCAGGACCAAGCCCTGGGTGTCTCCGAAGTTGATATAACCATAACGAGATTTAAAGTTGGTTGAGTGCTTCCTTTGTGCTCTCCAAATATTCGCATGTAATTCTCACGGGTACTGTTCTTATGAGATGGGTCCTGTCATTATCTCCTTTAATGGAGCTGAAAATGAAGTTCCCTAGAGTGAGATGATTTACCCAAGGTCCAACAATGGTGTCCTCCTAGAGTGGCCACAGCGGGATGGCTTACTCCTCAGGATTCTAGTGCTGGTCTGGGTCCCTAGCCTCGGTTTGCCTATAAGGGGATGTCGGCAGGCGTGGGTGGGTGGGGGGCGTGTAGAGAAGGTGTGATGCTTGTGATGCTGGAGGCCACAGCGGTGTGTGTCCTGCGGCGCCCTTGGGTGGCGTGTGCTGGGATCGCCAGCCGGAATCCCCCGTCCGAGGCCACTCATCCTCCAGCAGAAAAAAACTTGGTCTTGGGAGGTGACATATGTGGGTTCAAACCCCAGCTCTGCCCCTCTCTAGCGGTGGCCTTGGGCACGTGACTGGCCCCTTCTGCTCCTGGTTCTCTTTTGCCGAGTGGATTTTTTCCATCATACTTCTCATGCATATTAATTTTCCGCTAAGGTCGGTGATGGTGGGTGAATGAAGGAGAGAGGAGGGGAGGCATGGGGCTCGTGGATACCCGGGACCTGCTGCATCTGCGTGTCCGATTCTCCAAACACGCAGGCCTGGGCCATTCACTGGTTGCTGTGTGTCTCCCTCCTCTCCTGAGTGTGTCGCAGGCTCCCTCTGCTGGATAGTTGGGGAACAGCAGGCTCTACAGCGTCTGGTCTCCATTAGTCCATATGAGGTGTGCTCATGACTGCATGTTTGGGTATGTGCACATATGTGTGAGTAAGTGTATGGATGTGTGCACGAGAGTGGCCATATGTGCATGTGAGTGTGTGTACATGTGAAAGTGTGGAGTGTGGGTGTATTGTGTGAGTGCTTGTGTGCATACGATTGTGTGTGTGCACGCATGTGTGTGTTTGTGAGCATATATGTATTCATGATGTATCTATGAGTGTGAGTGTGTGTGTGTGACACTGTTTGTGGGTGTATTGGGAAGAGAAGAGGGAGAACCCCACTCACTGAACATTTGTAAGTGTCCACATCAGGCGACGGTCTAAACTCCACCGTGTTGGTGCAGGTAGGACATTCTGGAGAAACAACGCCCTTGGCAACAGCCCTGAGTAATGACTGGTGATTGCCTGTTCACTGCTGTGTCCCAGAGGTCCCCAGAGGGACTAAGCCCCAGGTCCTCCGAGTGGGAACTTCTTTGACAAAGCCCTGTTCCCCTGCCGCCTTCCCTTCTCTGTCTTACTCCATCTCACTGCCCTACTGGCATCTTCTGGGGTCACTTCCCCAAAAAAACCAATTTGCAGTTGAATTCCTGTCTCAGAATACAATTTTTGTATTTGTACTTGAATCCTTGCATTATAGTCTACTTCTGGGAAAAGGAAACCAAGACACAGAAGTCACTCCTCCAATCCCCACAAGCCTATTACTATGCCGTTTTTTAACCAAGAAGGAACCTGAGGCTTAGAGAGGGCAAGTCACTTGCCCAAGGTCACACAGCTGGAGAGTGGCAAAGGTAGGCTGTGACCATTGGCCATCTGACCCTAGCACCTGCTCCCTGGAGAGCTTCCTCCCTGCTAAGGACCAAGGGAATGAAGTAGGAGGGGAGGAACATTCACAACCAGTAAGTTCCCTGATATGTGCACCAGAGACACCCACGTCTCCTGGGTGGGGCTCATGTCCTCGTTCTGTTATAAAATAAGGGAAATAATGATAAACACATTCTTGGTACTGACCAGGAGCCAGGGACGGTTGTTATAAGTACTTTATTCATTTATCTCCTCTCTCTCCAAATATTACATTGGCTTGAGGTAAAAAAAAAAAAATATATACAAGTGTAGAAACTGAATCATGCTTTTGTTTATGCAAGTGTAGACATTTATTTTTTTAAAGATTTTATTTATTTATTTGACAGAGATCACAAGTAGGCAGAGAGGCAGGCAGAGAGAGAGAGAGGGAAGCAGGCTCCCCACTGAGCAGAGAGCCTGATGCGGGGCTCCATCCCAGGACCCTGAGATCATAACCTGAGCCAAAGTCAGAGGCTTTAACCCACTGAGCCACCCAAGCACCCCAAGTGTAGACATTTAAAAAGGAAATTCTCCCACAGTGGTCTCTGCTCTATACTCCCAGCCCAGCAGTTTGGGATGATTTTTTTTTTTTCCAGTTTGAAAACAATTGCATATGTGAACATTTTTCAATGTACATACAAACATTTTTGCACATATAACCATTTTTTTAAAGGACTGCCAATGTCGGGAAAGGTATGTGTTCTAGTTCGTTGTTACTGTATAATGAGCTGCCAGGAAGTTTGTTGGCTTAAAGTGGCAAACTTGAGTTTGCTCGCTATGATTTGGGCAGAAAATTGGGGCAGATTTCTCTGCTCTATGTGGCGTCAGCTGGGGCAGCGCTTTTGAGGCTGTAAGATCCGCATCCGAGACGGCTCAGACTCGTAGCAATTTGGCGCTGGCTGTTGGCTGGGGTGCTTAGTTCCTCTTGACGTGGGGCCTCTCCATGGGGGTTGCCTGGGCTTCCTCTTAACATGGCAGCTGAGTCCAAGCGGGTGTGTTCCAAAGGGATGAGAAGGAAGTCGCAAGTCTTTTTTTTTTTTAAGATTTTATTTATTTATTTGACAGGGACAGGGAGAGAGGGAACACA